GGTTTTTATTAAATTTAACTTTGTGTATAATAATTAATAGAAGACAATCAATAGAAAAATGTTAAAATTATTTGAATCATTAAATTTTGGTATTAATGTAATTAATTTTTTATGATGTGGACACATTGAATAGAGAGAGAACTTCTTAATTTTATATACTAGATTTATACCCATGCGTTACGTGGGATTTTAGTTTTGAACTACTAACAGTAAAAGTAATTGATTATAAATATTTTTTTTTAATTTTAAAATCGTTTACAGCCAAGTAGTAACAAAAGCCAATTGTAAACGTTACGGGAAAGAAACGGTTTCAATGACAATCTCACAACATTTTATATTCGAGAGAGTTCTTACACTCAAAAACTTAGAAATTCATTCTAAATTTTGAATTAGTGAACTTCAAATAAAATATTTGGATCTTAAAAGTTATTTTAGGAGTACCAATCAAATATGTCATATTCTTGTATTTTCTATATTATTATTAAAAAAATCTATTAATTAACATTCAATTTTCAAAAGAAAAAACTAAAGTCGATTTATGTATCTTTCGATCCAATTTTGTCTTGTTCATCCAAGTGTTCATAGTTAAATCCGTATTTCTCCAATTCAAAATTCTATTAACTTTTTTTGTTTGTCAACTTCCAAAATTATATTACTTTCATTAGTACATTATTTGAGTTATTAATTTCTATCAAGTTCATTATAATTTTATCTCATTTTTCATATATTAATATTAATGATGTTAACTTTTAAGTTTTAATTATTTTACTTAATTTCTTGTTTATATTATAGTATAACTTTAGAGTTATACATTAAAACTACAATTAATATGAATATATAGAATATGATTTGCGCGCATCGCGCGTTTTTGTTTTCAGTTTTATACATTTGATGACGAAATAATATTTATTTCAACATTTCTATTTTAATTCTTCTAATAATTTTTTTGTATTGTATTTTTAGTTTTGGTTTTCTAAAAAAATATTTGTGTGGTAATTAATATAAAACAACAAATAGATG